GCATACGGAATATAAGTATTACAATTTTTAGTGAAAGTTACCACCAATTTATATGCTTCCAAACTATAAAAAAGGGGGGTGAGAGAAGATAAAAACAGGAAAATTTAATGAACAGTGTTAGCTTGTACGTCAACATGACAACTCAAGAAGGTTAAAGTTCATCAAGCTGAAAACTTGCTTAGCGAGCTGAGCTACCGCAGGTGCACGTAAATTTATAAATGCAGTTGGAGGTAACATCAGCAGGGTACTTATCAAGTTTTGACTGGCTTATAGAGCACGTAGTGCTGTATAGTGTCACCAGCTTAGCTTCAGGGAGGCATCTCTTCATTGCTCCTTTCATCCTCTTGTCAATCTTTTGTGATACTGTTTCTCCTTTGTATGGGAGGCAAGTGAACACTTTCTTCATTTCAACTGTTGGATACTTCGCTTTATCTTCTCTTTCTTTGCTGTACTTTAGGATAAATCCTTTTGGATACCTGTTTTCCCTAAGGCATTTTTCAACAAAGCCTAATTCTTCTTCTACCTTGTTAGGCGAACATTACTTCCTGGCTCTGTCGTATAGTGTCCTTACTAATCCCCGCTTACAGCTTATAGGTCAAAAGCTGTTGTAGTGAAGATATTGTCCATTCCAGGTTTCTTTTCTGTAGATGAACTTTTCAACCGTTCCATCGTTTCTTCTTTTTACATTTAGGTCCAGGAAATTGAAATCGTCGTTGTGTTCATATTCCATGGTGAATTAAGTGCTTGGGTGGATCTCATTAAGGCGGTCAAATAATACGGATGCCTGACTCATGTTGTTACAAACAAAAAACGCATCCTGAACGTATTGACGATAGTATGTTGTTTCATTGAAAGCGTCATTCAGTCGTGTCTGTTCGAGATAACCCATGAAGATGTCGGCTAGAATAGTTCCTAGAGGTGAACCAATGGAGACTCAAGCAATTTGTCGGTTGAGTCGTTTGTTGAATTTGAATTGGATGTCTTTTGTGCGAAGAATTAGTAGGCACTTCATTTCTGTTTCTGGTAATGGCAATAGATCTGTTTGTTTACAAATGATGTCTATTGTTTTCATTACTGGTACATTTGTAAATAAGGCAGTCACGTCGCATGACACTATTAGTTTATTTGATATGTCAACATGATCGATTTCTCTAGAAAATTGGAAGGTGTCATCCAAGCTATGATTTGCAAATTTCTGTTGAATTGGCTTCAATGAATGAGCTAGCCATTGAGCTAGCTTGTGGTATGGTGAATTTATCATCAGTAATATAGGTCTTAAGAGCACATTAGCCTTATGGGAGGCAGCCACCTTTTGACCTGAGTTCGTTGTAAGTTTTGTTGTCAATCAATTTCTTGATGAGGAGTTCTTTGAGGCATTTATTTACTTAATTTTCAAATGACGTTGTTGCATCCTTCTTAGTTTTTTCCACCTGAAATTTTTCGGGTGGATCAGATTGTTAAATTTTTAAGAATGAAATATCATCAAAGTGTTAATAGCCTGGTGGACACATTTTCCTATGTAGACTATGATTACGGATTTGAGCTGAGATTAGCTTTTAGTTGTAGGGTGACGAAATGACATCACTTAGAGATTCACACTATAGTGTTCAAAAGTTCCATCCTAGTTTTGCCATTCAGAGTATTTCCAAAGTTTAGAAATGTAATTGATGAGTACACTGCGAAATTTTTGCTACATAAAGGAATAATTTCAACTTGCTCATAATTAAGTAACATAATTTTTACCTTTATTATGATTTCCTAAATTTACTCAAATTCTGCTAATCCCCAGTTTGGTTTATTTTTAGGTTTAATTATTCTAAATAACTAGAAGACTGATTACTGAACAAAGAATATTCATTTCAATAACTGGTGACGCGGGTTCAAATCTCAGAATAGACATCAGTTCCTTCAAGGTTGCAGATACGCCTTGCTGATGAGTGCCAACTAGCACGAAACCTAGGTCCAAGGCTTCCTGCCGATTGCCTCCAATCATCTAATACCAACATTTCAATAACTTCTTTTTCATCAGGCTCTACAGCTTTATATATATCCATCCATAATAATGAAAGAGATTAGGGTTATTAACAACATTAATGCTGTTTAAATAACATTGAATCAATAATAATATCAATAGATTGCAGGTCAGCAGCATTTGTAGGCGTGATAATCGGCAACAGCATAACACTACACACTGAATGTCAGACAAATTAGGAAAAATGATAATAATACAGAATTCATGAATTTATAAACTCCACAGAAGGCCGGGGTAGTCAGTAGTAGTGGTTGGATCTGTTTCTTCTGCACACAGAGCAACGGTCGTTTTAGGCGGATAGCATAGTAAAAGCACATGAACAGGACAATACACATATTTTCATAACTTTTTTCCTCTCCAGTACAAAAGGAATTCATTAAGGACACTCAGCTACATAGTCAGAGCTCAATGCTCAGAAGATATAACTGAAGATGAACTTAGCATTGTATATGACAAGTTAATTGAAAATAGCTATGCAGATCAGTTCATCAGGAAACACATCAGCAAGAAAGTAGAAAAGGACTGTTCTCTATCTGTAAATAAGGAGCCTTTACATATACGGCTGCAGTTCAGGGATGGTGTACCGAGTGAAATAACTACTAACAGGTTGAGAAGATCTATTCAAAGAACTTTTAGTGCTAGTGAACTACAAGTGACACTTTCTACACGACCCGTTATGATTCCTCAACTGAAAGATGAAGTACCTAGACTAGATTAGCTACCTCTTCTTGTATCTACCAATTCAACTGCGCTAGTGGGGCGAGTTGTGTTGGCCGCTGCTCTAGGAACTTGATTTGTCGAGCTAGCTCAGGAACACCTACCAGTGTGGCTAAATAAAGGTGCAGTGAAAAACATCAACAGTTCGATATTAGACCTTCTGGTCCAAACTGACCACAAAGCATTGTAGAATCCTTCTTCATCATCTATCGGCTACCTAAGGAACTGCAAAAGGCATTCAAGTACCGAATACGCCAAAAAAGTGGAGACTGTTGCGATCCTCCTGAGACAACCGGTGGTCTGTGTACAGAAGAAACAGCTCCAACCACTATTACTACCCTGGCCCTCTGTGGAGTCTGCAAATTCACAAATACCTTATTAGCTCAACCATTTTGGAACATATGGCCCTCCATTCTGCACATATAAATTACACTACCCCCTGTCATTACGCTTGCATTAACTGACCTTTTGTTTATCTGTTAAAACGAAGAAGTAAACTTACAGTTTTGACACACACACACATGCACACAACGCACATAAAATGCTACCACAAAAATCCTTTTTCTTTACCTCCGTCCTTGACATGATCATTAATCCATCTGAAGTTTATAACCAATATGAATAGAATCTGATGTGAACATAACTCAGGCGAATTTATTACTATACATTCATTGTCATTCCTAATCATTTACTTTGTAATACTGGTGTTCAATTTAGTATTACAATTATACACATTACCACATACATTATATATTTTGGACTATAATCTATTTAAGCATTCTTATTGCAGATGACCTTTTGAATTCTGATATAAATGATTCGATGTTACTCTTTATTAGAAACCACAGATGTTGTCAGTAATAACAATCATTCTTTCATTATTATGGAATGTATCTGTGGTACCTGATGAAGAAGAGGTTATCGAAAAGAATATGCTTTGTTCACCAATAAATCTTTTGAAATTCTGTATAGGCACTTTTAATCAACTAAAGAGTTAAATTAATAGTCCCCAATGAGATAATACAAATATTTCTGGCATGAAACATTTTCTTTTCGACGACTTCATTTTCCTGTGTTGCTGCACCACCATATTTATATGTGAAGTACAAGGAACATTGACAATTTTTTTTTGTGTGTGTGTTTGTGTGTGTGTTTGAGTATGTTAAAGATTGACACTGATCGGAAATGCTAAAGAAACTGTATTGGTGTACATGCTTACAAGTCACAATCACACATATAGACATACACAAGAAAACTAACTGTTATTGTCTATTGTAATTCATATATAAATATGGCTGTACAGAATCACGGGTAGAGATTTTTCTCAACTGAAATCTTGGTTTCACTTTCACCTAATTTGATCTGCTTTTGCTGTTCATTGCTTTTCTTTTCGTGAGAGATGTAAGCATTGTATATATACCGTTGGTCAGTGTGGTAGAGTATAATTCCATTATAGAATAAATGTATCAAATGGAAGCATAGTATCGTTTGCTGGATGATGTCCTGAAAATAATTTATCTCTGCTCATAAGCATATCGTTGCACTCACATACTGTTATTTTATATCACACAAAATTAAGGATAAGATTATCAATCTGGAAAGCTAATCTATTGATAATTAACCTATACAGTCAGTTGTCCTCCACTTACACAACAGCTGGACAGAATTCGTGATGGTCAAATGAAAATCCGGACAGTATTTGAGTGACACAACTAACCTTATACAGTAAATACTTCTGTGGTGAGAGCGTCTACAATGGCTTGTAGACAACAATTTACGTCAACGTTTACGTCCGGAATCGGAGTCATGAGAATAAACAATAACGAAGCTCAACCTTGAGGAACTCACCAACCAATCACAGCAGACTTAACGTGTGCAAATACGATTCGCAGATATATAGCCTAACTTTCTAAGAAACGGCCACAAATAGATGACAGAATAACCTTGAGCAAGAAAACAACCAATCAGAAGACGTTGGTTTTCTGTTTACAATAAAGCTAATAATAATGTACATAAAAATCTATAAATATCTGTTGATTTTCTCAATTAACGATGTGTTGCCTGGCCCATGTCTTCTATCGTTACACTACTGCACTGGTAACTTGTACATTAGTGATGTGAATCAAATTTCACTTGAAGTATCTGTTTTATTTTACATTTTATCGAATCATTTTTTTCACCTAAAATAGTGTAAATTAGTTAAATAATCATATTAACTCTCATTATTGTTGGTTTTTTTCATTTGTGAAAGCAAACGGAACTTGGATATCTACTTGATCGGTAAGTCACTAAATAATTATAATGGATATTTCTTCAATTGATATTTGCATACTCTAATGTTTTCAAGCGTTGGTTCACAGGAATTTGACTGACTACATGTTTGGTCATGACATTAGTTAGACACCGAAGAAACCTGTGAAGAAGAATACTGGGACCTTCTAAGAGTGACGTCGAAGGAGACGTCTAACAAAAAAGGACACTCAAGTCAAGGGATTACTTTCTATGGACACGTGAAGGCTAATTGGGGAAATGAAGATGGCGGAACTGAATATGAACCAACAAAAATGGTGGACAACGAAAGAAGAATCGTAGTTCAGTCTAAAACTGACTGAATAAAGTAGAGAAGATGAGTGCTAGGAAAGACAAGAGGTAATTCCACGACAAACACACAAATAAAGCAGAACGGACAGCAGACAAAAGAAACCTCAGAACATTATGTCAGATAACCAGGTCGTTATTCGAGGAAAGATAAAAAAAGATGAACCCAATGAAAGGTGGAGATAAAAACCTAGTTATCATGAATGAGGATGTGTAATCAAGCCAGAATCGATTTGGGAAAACAAAACACACATTCACTACTCTAAAATCACTGTGAAAGTCTGCTATACTAAGCATAAAGAACGAGATTCGGATTTTCAGCACTAATGTAACGTCAGTGCTTCTATACGACGCAAACAATTGGCACGAGTGTGATGAGGAGCATTTTAAGTAAACTGTAGAGTTTTATCAACACCCATCACGTTCAGTACATATGAAAATCAGATGGCCAGAAAAAAACCAGCGAAAGGGATCTCTGAGAGCTGACAAACCTATAAGCCGCTGACCAACAAATATGCCAAAGGATATAGAGATAGATCGAACACACCCCGAGGGGAGCGTTGAGTGACAGTGAGTGCCAGGTCATCGAGCAGAACGCGTTTGGAAAACGGTGAGTTGGAGGCATGAAGGAGATTATGTGAAGAGGAAATGACAGCTTATGGAAAATTGTGGAACAAGATAAAGAGGTCTGTGGAGAACAGAATGAAATTGAGATGTGCTGTTTGAGCCCTATGTCTCACTTGGAACCCAAGGGAATAATAATAATAATAATTGTACGGGACTACTGTGGGAAATGAAAAGGAGACCCATGTGTATTTATCCCCTGAACTCTTCATCCGGTCAACACAGGCAGGGTGTACGAAATGTAGGAGATTCTTAGACTAGCTAACGTAGAGATAGCATACGTTACTGTAAAGTACTAATGTGAAAAGTCACTCAACACAATAAGAAGACGTAGTTTATTTACGAATGTACCTCTTTTACAGACGGTTGACATTTTATGCGATTACATCCCTGACAATGATTTCCTATTACCAGTACCCATTTCCTACTTAAAAGAGTTACTGCTTCTTTGTACTAAGAATGTTAAGTTCACATTCGAGGGCGAGCATTATCGCCAGATCGATGGTGTTGCCATGGGAAGCCCCCTAGGTCCATTGTTAGCTGATATATATATGTCGCATGTCGAGAACCTAGTGGATAAAGAAATTGGAAAAGCTTATTTTTATAAAAGATATGTAGATGACATAATAGTCATTTGTGATAAACCGACAGACGCCGTAGAAATCCTGAACCGGATCAATAGAGCACAAAACAGTATATCACTAACATATGTTAAAGAGAATAATGGTTGCCTGCCATTTTTAGATGTACTAATAACCCGCCGAGAAGATGGGTCAGTAAAACGATCAGTCTACAGAAAGTCCACATGGACGGGACAGTACCTAAATTATCATAGTTTCTGTCCACTACAGTATAAGAAGGCGTTGGTTAAATGTCTGTTTAAGCGCATTCACCGTATATGTACTGCCGATACAATTGAAGAAGAAAGACAACACCTTACTGAAATATTGCTAGACAACAATTACCCACTGAGATTTATTAGACGTTACGGAAGTGTCAACCATAGAGCTTTGCCAATCCAATCAGCTCCCAAAAAGGATGTTTACATATCCTTACCGTTCAGAGGTGATCAACAAAGTTTAGTCACCAGACAAAGACTTAAGGCCGCAATCAATAGAACCTATTACGCAGCTAAACTTATCTTCATAGAGAAAACGAGGACTATGCTGTTCTGTAAACCCTCACATCATCCGAACGATAGTGTCACATCCCATTGTGTTTATCAATTTACATGTATGTGTGGAGACACGTACATAGGGAGGACCCATCGGTCTCTGCAGGTTAGGGCTACAGAACACATTCCCAAGTGGCTGCAGCAACAAATGAAATCACCAGACACAATTGAACCCGGAAATAGATGTCCAACATCATCTATAGCCAAGCATATTATAGAGATGGGTCATAAGGTTGATTTCAACAGTGCCTTTAAGCCGATATATAAAACGAGGTCGGGCCACATACTTAAATTCATTGAAGCCTTAGCCATAAAAAGACTTAAACCTGTCTTGTGTGTACAAAAATTATTTGTTATCACCTTAAACCTGCCTTGGTAATTCAATTTAGAACCGAGGACTAATTTACTTCCTAATATTTTCAACCCCTTCTTTGCCTTGTTTTCTCTCCTTTTGTCTTTCTTACCCTCACCTTTTGTGTCTCCCTACCCATCATTTGTGACCTTGACCTGTATTGTAATTATTCATGTCTTCTTGCATTATATAAAAACTGTGTATGACAAGTACGTGTGTGATCAGAATGTCCGAAATGTGTTGCGCCAATACATTACACGTTTCAGATAAACTACGTCTTCTTATTGTGTTGTCGAAAAGTCACTCAGTCAAGTTCAGTACAAAAGTTAGAGAGAAGTCGACTGAAATAAAACAGCCAAACTAATGATGGCCAGACAAACAGAAAGGAAGGGGTAGAAAATGTACAGAATAAACACGTGTGATAATAGTGAATTAATTGCTCGCACTCCTTTACCTCGCTAGGCCAGAAATAATGCCGGTGAAGAGGAAATGTTAGGCATGAGGCTAGCAACCCTATCCTGTAAAATAAACACTGCTACAGAAACTTCGAGCCACTAGTTTGAAGCCCTATGTTCCACTGGGGAAAGTGAAGGAAAAAAATTACTATCAATTAGAGCGGACAATTAGGGAAGAGAATAAGACCATGGTAAAACAAGAGACTGAACAAACTTCTTCCATACACAGAGTAAGGGGTTGTATTGACAAATCCGCAGCTCCACCGCCATACACAAATGCAGAAACCTGACATCCTTTTTTTACCGTTCTGTCTCACCTATCAGATAATCTTAAAAAAGATAACTGTAATGGTACCGTGTGGCCTGAGTTCACCAGCTGCTTGAGAATTAGGCCGGTAATTGTCTGACCTCGTCCCCTTGCCAACTAACTAACTAACTATGTTGGATAATGTTTGCAGATGCATTTGGAAAGTGTGCGCTTTCTACGGCCAATATAACTAACTCCACAAGAACAGGTGAATTCATAAGCACACACTGAAATAGCCCAAGGCAGCAGTTTGTCCATCACATATCCACTGATCATTTGCCGGCTGTAGAAATTGACTCATAGCTCAGCAGGAAAGAAAGCTTTTCTTAGCGATTTGGATAAGCGCTTGTTCAGAAACAGCAATTTCTTCGGCACCGTTTAGATTCTTTCAGGTCCATGTTTTTGTCGATGAATCTAGTAGGATATCCATTTTCAATGAAGACTTGCTTGAGTCTCTTGGCTTTGTCTTAGATTATGCAACCTTTTTATTCTTAAAGACAATTAGCATATCAGACTTTTCTTTCTTCTCAAAAGGACTCATCCATGAAAACGCGTGTATTGTTAAAGAAAAAATGTTTCAAACATAAACCATGGTGGTATCGAGTGGCTCTTTAATCGAAATTGATGATAAGAAGGAAGAGAATATGAAATTCGAACATTATGACAATCCTCTGATAACTGATTCGACTTAAATCTTACTGTATTGTTATTATTATTCCCTTGGGTTCCGAGTGGAACATAGGGCTTCAACAACACATCTACACTTTGTTCTATTTCTTCTGTCCTCTCCAGCTGGGTTCACGACTGCCCATAATCTATCGTCTCCTCCTCGCCACGCTATCTCCTCCATGTTACCCACCAAGTGATGACCAAGTCGTCGCTTCTCATTCGGATTCTACTCGAGCAATGGCCTAATGATAGCATGATGTCACTCGACGGCCTCCTCAGCGTATGCCTAATCCATCTCCATTGTCTCCTACATGTTTGCTGGGCAATCAGCTCTCAGTTAGTTTGTTCTCAGTCAGAGTTTCTTGTTGACAGTTTTTTCTGGCTGGCTATTCCATCTTTAGTATGGAGCCAGTGAAGTGTGCAGCTGTTGATGAAAACCTGCAGTGGCCTATCGCAAATTCTTCAGTGCAAGTTTCTGACCTGCACAGAAGAAATAACTGACTTCACATCTGCTTTTAAAATCCGAATCTTCTCCTTTATGCTGAGTCAGTGCAGAAGATTTTCAAACTGGTTTCAGGTTGATGGAGGCGTATATTGCCTTTCCTATTCTTGATGGCTGGCTTTGACATCTTCATCCATTCCACCAGCTGCGGTTGAAACGATGCTTCCTGGCTGGATAAGTGAAGGAAGTAGCCTCCGTCAAATCTCTCCAATGGATGGTGACTGTTTCTAGTTGTTGTTGCTGTTAGCTGGTTGATTAGTTATCTTCACCACCTCCGTCTTCTCTATGTTCACATGGAGTTCTATCTTCGCTGTCGGCCTCTTCTGCCAGTTTATGGGTTTTCGCCTGCAAGGAAGTCTTCGAGTATGTATGACATTAAACATACGAACTTGAATCCTAATGCCCTTTAATTAACGAATTCCTAATTATCTATCCTCTAAATACTCTTGTGTATAGGTCTAAATAGCCTAACTGTGGAGCTTTATATATTCTTCAGTTTTTACTCTGCCGTTTTACAAATCTCTCCTGAAGACATTACCTCACTTTCATATGTTTTGTATGTTGGGAATTTTTTGTCCACGTTAGATTATATTTTAACATTTTCACTGCTTTGCTTTACTTAAATATTCATTTTGATTTTCAAGTCCTTGTTTCCAGGAATTTGACTGACTGAAAAGCTGTTTCGACTAAGTTTGTGTCTCTTCGACAGTGTAAAACCAAAACACCAACAGGGATAGAACTTGTGACCGTCAAGAGAGCTCGTTGACCATTCACCCTTGTGTGACTTAATCCAACGCCCGGCTTATGAATTCTAACTCCTGCCAGTTAGCCAGACATGTTCAGTGTTATCGGCGAGTACCTGACTTCATAACCAACAAGGTGGATCCAACAGGTAATGACTTATCATTAGAAGTCTAAGAACTCCATCTTGCAATTCTCCATTAATAGGCAACAGAATAATGTTCGTGTGCTGACTTTGAAGTTTATTATCTAACATGAAATCATTCTTTTTAAACATCCGAGCAAATCTTGAAGAAAAAATGTTTTCTGATCATAACTTGGACAGACTTAATACATTGAAAATGGAGAATGGACAGCTGTTCCCTAGCTTAAGATTATTTGCTTTACGCACCACCGCAGGGTTCGAATCAGAACTCGTTAAATGGTTCTCTAACTGATATCAGTCCGTGGTCAAACTTGAGAAATAAATCAAATCCCTACAAATCAAAACTTGAAAATTAATCTGATGCTTGCTAGAGACTGGCTATAGGATGGAGGTCCCTGGAGTTCTAGGGAAAAGTAGTAACTAGTAGGGTTCATTTTGTCGGGAGTGAGGACAAACGCTCGCCAGTGATAACACTGGCCGGTGTCAGTCGCACTAAGATCACGAATTGGTAAGAGTTAGAATTTCTGGGCTGGCCATTGAGGAGTCTAGTCCCAGTGGCTGATGAATGGTCTACGAGCTCACCTAGTAACCGGAAGGTCGTGAGTTCGAGAGCCGGTGGATGCATACTGTTGATGAGTCCCAAAATAGTTCGAAACAGCTGGCTGTCCAGTACTCCCTGGTTTCCAGTGTATCTCCAACTAATACATTTCTCTTGTTAACGCAGAGGAGGGAGTCACATCAGTTGTGAATTCTTCATTAAATTCTTCCCACTTCTTTTTAAAATTTTTTCTATATTTTAGTCATACGAAAAAATCCACTGCTGAAATTACCGAATTAAAAGGCATCATTAAGATAAAAGAAGAAACTATTAAACTATTAGAGGTAGGCGGTTAATTTTTTAAAATTTTTTACATACATTAATATTAATAATAATGATAATCGCAACTGATCAGTATTGCTTTTGTGATGTTAATGTTGTCTTTCGTCCAGTTGTTGTTGTTTGTGGTGGGATAGTGGTCTAACTTTCTTACAGTTTAGTTCATGTGTACCAACCAACTGACAGACACTATCTAATGTGTTAGCTATCTTTTCGAATGCCCTGTCGATTGCTGTTACCTTGACGCAGTGGTTGAGCTTGCATATCGCAATGAACTAACGAGCTACACGGGCTCGAATGAATGTTTCTGCAGGGGTTCTACCATGCTAGAAAATTCGTTTGTACTGCTGAAAGACCGAAGACAGTTAAGATTTTACACTGTGCTCAGGATCTATAGGCAAAGTTGTACTGCTAGTGAACAGGGATGTGACAGCAGTCAAGTGTTTGCCTTAGATAACCAGCAAACCTACTGTGCTGCCTCTTCACTCTGGAGATGGGGGTTTTAAAGAGACTGACTGCAAAAATTATACATCCCGACCTACTGAGAGGCGGTCCGTAGCCACTTGAAACATACCCGTGTGTGACCAGCCTCAAGCTGTCATCGCTTGGGCTCTGCAGTCAAGCATCAGTTATTATTATTATTGTTCCCTTGGGTTCCTAGTGGAACATCGGGCTTCAACTGCACGCCTCCACTTGTTTCTGTCTTCTGCTATACTTTTCACTTGCATCCATGTTAGTCCATAATGTTTCAACTCTTCTTCACACGATCTCCTCCATGTCACCCTTGGAGACACGACCCACTCGCCGCTTCCCTTTCGGGTTCCACTCGAGCGATGGCCTGACGCGCGATGTCAGCCAACGGCCTCCTCAGCGAGTGTCCAATCCATCTCCACTTTCTCCTGCATATTTGTTGGGCGACCGGTTCTTGTTTTGTTTCTTCCCATACTTTCTTGTTGGTGGTTCTTTCCGGCCATCTGATCTTCAGTATAGAACGAAGATAGCTGTTGATAAAGGTCTGCAGCGTGTTGGAAATATTCTTTGTGACCCGCCAAGTTATTCTGTTTCAGAACCCCAGGAAGGTGTCAACTTCCATGATGTGGGAAGTCATAACCGTTCACACACTTCCGTAAGCACACACAAATATTTTCTGACAATCACTCACGTTAACCACCATCGCCTTAATCATCTTGCTCTCCTCCTACTGCTAAAACTATCCCAAAGGCAGATCTGTCATCTTCTGATAACTCTGCGACTACCAATAGCAACGACAGGCAGAAAAACTCTACTGATAGTCTCTTAAAACCATGCTGCCAAAGTCACATTGAAGCGTTTAACTTCAGAACATTTCACCAAATCAAACAATAGGCTTTACTAGCCAGGATTCTGTCATTCTGAGCCCAGGATGTATGTTGTGTTTCGCAGACATTCATACAAGACTCAAGTGTGGTTATTCATTTAACGCAGATGCTAATCAAGTCAGATTTGAGATGGAATATTCTAAATCCTACCTGTAAAAGCACAGGTTTGCATGTTGTACGTTAAAACAAAGTAACACTCACTTATCACCCTATGGTTATTTACCGGGTAGGCGAGAATTCGGTGAATTATAATAACTTCAAATAATTTTACCCTAGTTGGACTGAGAATTTAAGAAGTCAGAATTCATAAGCTGAATAGTCAACGACCCGACCTTGTAACCTTGAAGCCGAGTGGGAAACGATGGGTTTGGTGCTTATTATATCACTCATCGAAAACACTCTTCAGTTCGGAAGAAAAACAGTCGTCAAACTAACTCTACAATGGCTGCTTATGAATACAACCCAAAGCTTCGTGTGTGCACAATCCTTATTTTTACCTTGGCCATATAGGGATGAATATCTATTTTCAAGTAATGGTTTTGTGGTGATACTTTGTTTGATTGGTTGGAGGATTTCATCATGAGCTGACATCAGTTAGCTAGGGATCTAGTGAGAAGCCGTCGCCAGTAGAGTACAGCAGGTTGAAGGTGCGGCAGTAACTCATCGGAGAAGACACTGTGAAGTAGTCGCGCTAGGTCGTGAATCGGCAGAATTTAGAATTCATGGGCCATTAGATTGGGTCCCAGTGGCATAATGGTCTACGAGGTCACCTTGTAACCAGAAGATCCTGGGTTCGAAGCCCGGTTGGCGCGTACTGCTGAAGCAGAGTCCCAAGAGACTAGGGCGAAACAGCCGTTCAGTACTCCCAGTTGGTTTTTCAATGGTTCTCTCAGTGATGTCAGCTTATGATGAAATCCTCTAACCAATCAAACACCTCTTTCTTTTATAAAAATCAACAAATTGAGCAAAGAAATACACATTCCTTTTCAGTTAGTTCCTCATCATCAGATCTACACTTATATATAGCTTCCTGCATATTTGTTGCACAATCAGTTCCTTGGTTGGTTCGCTCATTCCAGAGATCCCTTTTGCTGATCCTTTCTGGTTCGCCATCTGATCTTGAGTAGTATTGAGCGAAGACAGCTGTTGATGAAAGTCTGTAGTTTGTTCGAAGTGCCCTTCGTGACGCAGCGCCAAGTCTCTGATCCGTATAGTAGCACTGACTTCACATTGGAGTTGAAATTGCGGATCCTATTTGTCATACTCAGTGCTGTTGATTTCCACACAGACCTGAGAGTAATGAAAGCTTGCCTTGCTTTCCCGATCCTCGCTTTGATATCACAATCGCTTCCGTCCGCCTGTAGTTGAAACGATGCTTCCCAGGTAGGTGGGTAAGTAAAGGAGGTTGCTTCTTTCAGATTTCTTCCATTTATGCTGATTGTCGTCTGTTGTTGTTGCTGTTGGCCAGGAATCTTTATCACATTCGTTTCCTCTATGTTCACCTGAATGCCTATCTTTGATGCTTCTTCTGCCAACTTGTTGCTTTTCACTTGCATATCTTCCAATTTGTGGGAAATCAGGCATATATCATCGGCGAAGTCCAGATCCTCCAAGTTTTTTGTGTGGGTACATTTTATGCCTTTCTCCTCGTTGCCCGCTGTCTGTCGCATTATCCAGTCTACCGCTCAATCAGGAAAATCATTGGATATAGTAGGCAGCCAGCCAGCTTGTCTTACTCCTGTTTTCACTTCGAAGGATTCTGTGAGTTTCCCGTTGTGGATTACTTGACATGCAGCATTTTCGTACAACTGTTGGATGAGGTGTATAATTGTTGGCGGCAACCCGTAGTAGCGAAGTATTTTCCAAATCACTTCTCGATCGACGCTGTCGAATGCCTTTTAAAAGTTGATGAAGTTGAGATAGAGAGGTGACTGCCATTCCAAGCTTTGTTCAATGATGATCTATACTGTGGTGATTCGATCACTTCATGAATCCAGCCTGTCCCAGTCGAAGTTTTCCGTCCAGTGTGTGTTTGATTCTCTCTAAGATGATGCGTCTGAGTAGTTTCCTTGGCATGGACAGGAGCATAATGCCGTGCCAGCTCTTGCATTGACTCAAGTTCACCTTCTTTGGCAACTTGCATAAGTAGCCTTTCTTCCAATCCGCAGGTACATTGCCCTCTTTCCACGCATTCTCCAGTAGTGGTGTCATCAAGTCCGCTCACATTGCTCGTTTACAATACCAAGCTGAGTGTGAATGTCGTCGTTTTCGTTGAGTACAAAACATGTAAAAGTATATGTAGAAAATTAGGCCTATATGCCGAAAATTTCATATATACATTGCCATAGAAGTGTTGATAAGGAACTAACTGAAAAGGAGTTTACATTTCTTCGCTCAATTTGTTTCTGACATGACCCCTAATTTTTCTTTTCCTTTTCCAATTTTTAGGAAGAGAATGCACGACTGAGTGATTCATTGAAATCAATTCTTCATAATATGAATAAACCGAATAATCTAGACAAAAATACAATGTCCAATAATTTGAATAAGACTAACCAAAATCAATTGGATGCATATGAGCAGAAAATAAACAGATCAATAACAAATAGTCAAACAAAGCCCTATGACTCTCCTCGTCATTCACATCCATATAATCTTCATGAACAGCAGCAGCAACAACAACAACAATTCCGCCAAAATCAGCAAAGATATCAACAACCACATCGTCAAACATATACACCTGTCAATCAGTCTCCTCCGGTGACAATATCACATTCTCCATCACAAAAATGTTATATGATGCGATCGTATACGAGTGAAAGTTCACCGAATACAAATACCAATCCTAGTCCTTATGGACTTGATATTTCCAGTAGTTCACCTCCATTTACATCATCACCAATAAATAGACAAAGTAGTCCTGATAAATATAGCAGTAATAGTAATATTAGACGTCAACTCTCTCCAACTGGTAAACGTTTCCCGTATTATCAACCCTATATACATTCATTGATGCATCCGAATCAGACATCAAAATATGATAAAAATAAAAATTCTAATGATTTGGTGAGTTATTCCGGCTTTTCCTTGTATTCTTTAGTTTATCATAATTCTTTGGCCGAGCAGAATTATTTGTAAATTAGAACAAGATGATTTTAAGCAAACAATTTTGGCTTCGATCAATTCTTCATCAGCCTCTACAGTTAGTTATAAACCCGTGAATATTAGAAGAATACAAATAGCCATCGGGATACATGAATGACATGGAGTGATGGTTCGTTATTTAATACTGTCTCTTGCCTCAATCGCAGCTAAGTGAGGTTTAGGAGTGCGTCGGCTGAGGTGTGAACCGCTAACTACGTGCGTGGTTGACGAACATTCTATCAATGAGGCACCGTCGCAAGTAGTCTGCAGTTATATGCATAATATTTTTCTAGTTTTCAGTGGAGAATTACGATTCCTCAAAAGAAGAATGAACAAACTACACTTTCAATCAGCTGAATCATACAATTCATTTATTTAGTGTCACTACAAGAGTAACCAATGTTACGTGCCTGGTCCCAGTCAGATTCGTGATCCGATCAGCGAAGCATCTAGCTCATTATCTTGGTTGACTTAAAACCCACTTTAGATAGTTGACGAACTATGGGCAGGAAGCCTTGAATCTATGATTTCTTGCTTACTGACATCCATATACAACCTCGGTGGGAGTGGTGTCCACCAAATGATTCGTACATGCGCAGCCCATTGCATTAGTGAGACTGAACCAGTTGGATCATAATATATCTCGTACTGGACTATAATGCACACACAGATTAGTTACTGGGCAATGACGAAGGTCTTCAGTGCTGACTGTTTTCAGTCAGTTACGTTTAAATATCATATAAGTACGCGTAAAATGATATACTTAATCAAATAAAGGTGTATATATATGTGGAAGTGTATACAGCTGAAGAGATAGAGTAACGAAATTAAATAGATATCATTCTTTTTCTGTAACAATCACTATTCTTCGCTTTATAAGAAATATATTCAATTAACTATTTTTTGTTTTCCATATTTTTCTAATTCTTCTTCTCTTTGTTTTTCACATGTATCAATTACTACTAGAAAGGAATAGGTTATAGCTTGACAGCAGCCCAATCGCAAATAGTAAAAAGTCCAACACAAAGACTTCTAATGCAAGTAAGTCTCATTTAAAGAATATCAAAGTGTCATTTCGTTATTCTGATGAAATAAACAAATTTGAATTTTTTAGTCTATTTGTTTCAGATTTGATCATGGGTTGTCGTCAGTCAGAGAACCACTGAAGACTAGGGAGTATTTTATTTATTATTCCCTTGCGTTCCGAGTGCAACATAGGGCCTCATCAACTGCGTATATCATAAATAAATCAATTATGAATTATGGAATTTCAGATCATCCTTTTTACAGTGATTTCACAAATTTCATAACTTATAGCTGATATATTTAGGATGTGAGCATTTGAAGAGAATCTACAAAATAAAACAGGCTCATATTGTCCGGCAAATATGTTCGCTCTTTGTTTATTCAAATTAAAGTCTAAGCATATATTGGAGTGTGTCGGTTTCCTTTAAAATACACTAGTGTTTAACCCACCATCTTGTTTTCTTTTTATTCTACAGTCTATCATGGCCAACTCACCCTATTCATTTTGTAAATCAGAAATGAATTGAATTCCGTCCACTACTGAGTATATGCGTGTGAAAAGGTGAGGGATGTGTTCATATTTCAAAACAGTGGATGTGTCATACACATATCTCCACTGTAATCTAGGAGCAGGATTAAACGTTCTAAGAGCTTTATTTTCCCAACTCCCCGTAAATATGTCTGCTACCATTGTGAATACTGATGATCCTATTGCCACCCCATTCGTTTGTTTATTTAGTTTATCTTGAAATTAGAATACAGTGGAGGTAAGGCATAGCTGAACACCTTATATGAACATAAGAACAACAAAGTACAGCGAAGAGTCTCTTTTCGTCGGCGAATTCATTCACTTAGCTGTACAATCGCATTTATATATAACTATTTTTTGTGTGTCATACAAAAATTCAAAATATACATTATTAACAAAGTCGTAGAACTTGGAATTATACCAAAGGTAGGAAGAGGGGTTGGAGAAGTTTCTTCTGTTTGCATAAATCAGGTTTTCTATCTGGATCGCTAAGGCCCCAGCAATGCAAAGTGTACGGAAGCTTACCGTTTTCGGGAGGCTTCTTTGGACTTCGTCGCTGAATTTGAATCATTTCTCGGTGCATATTGAGTGACCAGTGTTGACTAGATATTCAATTATAGCACTCTCTATTGATCCACTGTTACCTTTGAGTAGCCAAACGAGATAATGTTCTTTGACGCTTTTAGATGAAACATGCATCGAGTGACCTACATATCTCATTCCACATGAGCAAGTAAATTGGTATGACATATGTATGGCATTTTAACCAAACCTTTATTTACTCTTTATACCTATTACATAATTTATTTTTGAACACCTGCCTCCATTAACATCCTATTTCATATTACGCAACCCTTGTCAATACTTACTAGTCTTCACTGCCCCCCTAGTTACAATTTTGATTATTCATCCCATTTTCGAAACATTTCGATGACGTAAACAGTAACCCTAACTAATTTTTACTTTATTTTTGTTTGACAATCCTAATGTACACTCACACACACAAAAATAATTATATATGAATGCGATTGTACAGCTAAGTGAATGAATTCGCCGGCGAAAAGAGACTCTTCGCTGAACTTTGTTGTTCTTATAGTATTATTTCATCCACCCAGAGCTTAGTCCTACTTTTGAATTCAGGATCAATGTTCACTTCATCTCTGACTGTCTCCAAATTAGTTAGTTAGTCTAAAATTTGTCCTATCTCTAATAGGACATAACCCTGATGCTTGTGTAAATGTTTAATAGCATACTGAATTGAGTTAAATTTGCTTTTTTTATTTTAGAGTTTGCCCAGCAGCGGTTATTAATCGGAGATATGTTATCCTAGCATCAATACTCTAATGGTGACAACAGTGACCACTCTTCACATGTCAGTAAGCAATGCATAAATATGTTTTATCCAACACACAAGATAGAATCATTTGAAAGAGTAACAGTTAAATAAGCGAGCAAACAAGTAAGCCCAGTCAGTAACTAACAAAGCAACGTTTGTATTTCAGAGAAGGTTTTCAAAAATTAAATTACATTAATTGATCAAATCAAATGGCCTTCTTTTCCCTTATTTCCACCTTTTTATTTTATATAAAGTATATTAAATGGCTTTTATTCTCTTTTTGTTCACTTAGTTTATACCACATTTTTTAATCTCTCTCTCTAACCAATACCTCTTGAACAACAAGTCCTTCTACTGCTATTAATTTTTGACTACTTATAATAATAACAGTAGTGTAGCATAAATACCTTAAAGTATTTTCGCACTTAATGACATTTAATCAACTCTATTACCTCTAGTGTGATGATGACACGTGTGTGTTGTGTTTGCTTGTGTGCTGAGCTTGTCGTCAGTTCAACAAAAAAATATTTCGAAATTTTGTTTCCTCCTTACCTAACCATTTTTAAACACTACCTAAAGAAGGTTGGGAGTGCTAATCTGTGATAACAGAAAAACATTAATAAAAGTGTGTACAAACATTTTTGAAAGTAAGCAAACAAAACATAACTATTTCGACCTTTCTAACAAAGCAAACATTTCATTTTTCAATTCTGTCACTATTATTCACATAGAGCTGGTGTTTATATATACTACTCATACAATTATGAGTAGTCATTACCATTATTACTTAAAATGTGATGATAGTATTATGCGTGCTGATGCATACACAGGGGGAAAAAACAACCGTTCACTAGGTGAAAAAAGAGGGGAAACATTATCCCCCTCCCACTTCCGATGCTATCACTCTTTTATGTTATGTTACTCTTCACTTTATTTCTCACGCATCCATCACTTAACCCCATTTGGTCACCTTCCTTTCTTGTTACTTCCTCATCATATTCAGGTCAAGTTACCTTGACATTTTGACTTTATACAAGTTGTTTGAGTCTTTTTACATTATTTTTCGATAATGAAAAAATAATGTTGTTGCTGAGTTATGTAGCCTACAGTGTATATTTTCTATTATTGTCGTCTTTATTATTATTATTATTATTATTACTATCCCTCTAAGCAGTATCCGTATGAATGAAGTAACGTAACCCTCTGCAATGTTGACTTTTACCGAGTCCCTAGTGTTTTTGAGTAAAAGCGCCTTTATACTGGTTGTCTTTTTTTAAAATGAAACGTTTCGAATTAAAAATTTAAAAGTAAAAGAATTTTTTGCTACGAAAGTCGTTTTCATCTGTTGACGAAGACATTTGTGTGTGGGGACGAGTAGGGAGGGGAGAGGGAGGAAGTGGGGATATTGGTAGATTCCGAAAGAGATCTGGTTGTATATGCCAATATCTACATTTGAACTGGTGAAAAATTATACCATTGTGAACAAAAATATTTCTTGAAGTCATTTTGGTGGATGGTGATTAGCAGGGGAATCCAGGATGTGTATTTCATCTTATTTGGGACTCGTCATTTAGAGGTATCTGCTGACCCCAGTAACTGATAGTGATCCCACATCGAAACATTATCCACTGAACTCTTCTGGCTTACATGTGGCTAATAAGCCTAAACAGCTTGAAGTAAGCATCTTGGATTCCTCCACTAGTCACCATCAATCAAAATAACTTCACGTCGATCCTTAGACATCTTCGAAGTGTCCGTCCTAGTAGCTCACATATCAACAGAGATCCAGCGTTTCAGCATGAAATGATCAATCAACAGGAAATGCAAATTATTCTAAAAACAAAGAGATGTTTCTTGTTGATGTGTGACTTTGTGTCCACAGTGGAGGTAGAAACTTCAGGTCCTGGTGGCAAGCACACCATTATTTGGCAAGAGTCTGAAAATCTGAAAGCATAGCTTACAAAGTCAACTAACTACACGAGACCTTGCAGTTTTTGTCCTGACACTGTGTAATATCTTGAATCTCTAATGCTGAGTGGTTTCCGGAGCAAACAACGCCTTCCTCAATATCACTACTAGCAGGATTTTGCAATTAGTATGAACAGTGAGTAACATACGGACGAATTAAGTCGAGTGGTATAAGATCCTGGTGAAACAATATGAAAAGCATGAAAAAAGAGACAAAATAAGCCAAAAAACGAAAAATATATCTAAATAAAGATTTGAATGTAAGGAGAGTATGCATTTCGCCAAAAAACAATCGGCTAGCCGTGTTCCGCGGCTACATTCGGTGTCGCTGCCTCCAACCAGATGAAGATCTCGTGGAATTCATGTTTCGAAAATTGAGACGTCCTGAGCTTCCCGAATGATTTAGATGCTGTTTTCTCGTTGTTGATCGTCAAAGATCCGACGACGACGACTCTGATGAGTGGATAGGCGAAAGCTCCCTATGACAGTTCGTATGCAGCAAGCTCAGAGGCCACGCGAGGGAATGTCGTTCAGTAACTGATTTCAGAGTTTGATTGCCTGGCAGACAGACAGGAGGCGTTGCGGAAATTAAAGAGCCTGTGGCTTGTTGCAAATAGAGATCCACTGGTTTTAGCAGCAATAATGACAAATCTTCTGAGACCAGCAATGCCAAACATAGACTGAGATTTACAAACACAGCAGATAGCTTCCTAGCTTATCTGGTGCATTGTTACTGCTATATTTCATTAGCTATAGTTAGTAAACGTGGTCCTACCTATGGACGTAAATGAGCTACTGAAAATCAAAAAACAGTCCATCCACACCAGTGACTAACGATAACCAGAAAGCCTACATGATAATTCGAAATATCCAAGAGCTGCAGAAATAATTGTCAATAATTTGAAGGAGAGACTGACAAATATTTATTTGACTTGTGAAAGAACAGGGTATTTACAGGGAAAATGCCCAAAAAGGAAAAGCAAAGGTTTTAAACAATATATGCGATCCTACTTCTTTCCCTGGTAATCCTTAGGAATTTAGAAAAAACGACAACAGGGGGACGAAATATACATTCCTTTTCGCTTAGTTCGTAATCGCCAGCTCTACACTAATATATAGTTTTTCACATCACAATATTCTACCAATCAAGTGGTTATTTTAGTTAGTCACTTCTAGGTGTAGGGGGAGGGGTGAGAATTAACAGTCATCAAAACATCAGAAGTTAGAATTCATGGGCCATTGGATCGGGTCCCAGTGGCTTAATGGTATACGAGCTCGCCTTGTAACCAGAAGGTCCTGGGTTCGAATTCTGGTGGGGGTCGTACTGCTGAAGAGTCCCAAACTAGGACGAAACAGCTGTCCCGTACTCCCAAGTTTTTCACTGGTTCTCTAACTAATGTCAGCTCATGATGAAAATCCTGTAACCAATCAAATCCTTACAAACCAACACTTGAACATCAAAACATCAATTAGCTAATAGATGTTAGTAACAAGGTATCTGAGTTTTGAAAGAGGGGTGAAAACTGATCACTTACGGATTTCAAGATAACAAGTTATTACATAATCAAGAAATTTGCAAAATAGCAGTGATGACTAAGAAGAATAGGATAACTCAGTAGAATTACGTGATATACAAACAAGTAAATAGAATTAGCTAGAATTGTAAAAATTAACAAAGTCAAAAGATAGTTACAAGGGGAGAGGAAAAATCGCTTTTAAAGACTCAATACATATTACGTACTTGGCCATGGTAAATAAAGGGGGTGAGTGAATTTCTTTTGAACACACAGATTTGTCTTGTTCAGATGAATTCCGATTGCCTCTGCTATATATAAAAGTCGTTCTCATAGACCATATGGCGAGAGGTTGGGTGATTTGAGTTGGACTCGATTTTATATCCATGTTCATGTCGACGAGATGAGGTAGTGTTGACCTGAGTAGTAGCTTTATTCGGACCTTTGTCAAACCAAGATGGGAGGTATTCTACAAATTCGAAGACGAACTTGTCTGATCGTATCCACAATGTAACTAGCTCCGCATGGGCAGTTAAACTGGTAAATACACATGGAAGAGACGAAACAAGGTAGTTTGTCTTTATTTCTTGAACTGAATATTGGTTAGCTAGTGAATAAACAGCATAACTTAGCTGCATTGAATGTCCATTTGAAGGCTATTCTCAAATGTTGTGGTAAAATCTCTCTAATTGTTTTGATGACTTTAAACCTGTTAATTTTCCCTCCTCCACCCCCCCCTAATTTACCTAGAACCGATTAACCACTAAAATAACCACTTGGTTGGAAAAATCCTAATTTTTACGAGTTGATCATGGATTGATGTCAGTTAGAGAACCATCGAAAACTATGGAGTACTGAACAGCTGTTTCATCCCAGTTTTGGAAGTCATCAGGCCATTAAATCGGGTCCTAGTGGCTGAATGGTAACAGGAATGTCCTGGTGTCGAACTCTGGCAGTGCCTGCATACTGCCGATGATTCTCAAACTAGGATGAAGCAGCTGTCCAGTACTCCAGTGCTGGTTTTCAATGGTTCTCTAAATGATATCAATCGTGGTCAAACTCTTAAAAACAAAACTGGTTCTTACAAACCAACTATAGAAAAATCGTAATGTATATAAATTGGTGTAGAACCATCCAAAGATGAGGAACTAAATGAAAAGGAATGTATATTTCTTCGTTCAATTTGTTTTTTTTACTGAATGTGTAAATGTGTATTTGGAAGTCAGTATTTTGTGTGATTGTGATAGGTACATAGGCTATGTATACGCAAATATGAGTAAACGGAGGAGAGCTAGCTTGCTGGATTGACACGAGACCAGCCGTCTCACTGACAGATAAACAATTTGATACTGAATACTACTGTGTTATGACTAGGTGAATACACAAGAATATACGACATTTCAATACAGCTTGACACAATATCATTCTTATAATATATCGAAAGTATCTGTCAACTATATGCCCAAGAAATAAATTATTAGCAACACTATTGTTGTTTAAATAACATCGAATCAATCGATAATGTGAATAGATTGTAGGTCAGCGGTGTCCGTAAGCGTGATAGTAGGCAGCGGCATTACACTACACACTGAATGTCAGACAAATTAGGAAAAATAATAAAACAGAATCCATGAATTTATAGGTTGGACAGAAGGTCAGGGTAGTCAGTAACAGTGATTGAATTTGTTTCTTCTGTACACAGAGTACCGGTTTTATTAAGCGAATTTCATAGGGAAAACACATGGACAGGACAATATGTATATTTTCCTAGATTACAAGTCAATCTGAACGAAGAATATCCTTTTCAATAATTTCTCTTCACCTTCTTACATTTATAAAATATAATATTTGTTGTCGTTACAATAATGTCCAGTTATGCGGCGGATGCATTTTTAGCGTAGAATAACAGATTAGTTAAGGGTTGTCAGAATAAATAGTCGTATTTGTGTGACAAACGTTCTCTGAGCTGAAATCGATTACACTGGTGATAATTAGTCATAATAGACAGAAGGATAAGAATAAGCCCCATAGTATACTTACAAAAGAGCATCGAGAGGCTGTTAAAAGACTAAGACGAAATGAAAACATATGTATTACCAGACCGAATGAGGGACCGGGTATGGTAATTATGGATAGGCAGGATTTCATTAATAAGATGAACTCCATACAAGATGATGGCAGCAAGTTTCAGAAGCCGAAAGTAATGAAAGTTCACACGGAAAAAGTAAGAGAGAGAAATAACCAACTTATTAAAGGATTTGAAAGGTAAAGGGCATATATCCCCAAAAACTTTCGAAAACATAAACCCACAGGGAGCACCATCTCATGCATGTATGGTTTACCGAAAGTGAATGAATCAGGAGTGCCCCTACGTCCCATACTAGACATGTCTCATTCACCCTATCACGAGACGGCAAAGTGGCTGGTGCAGGTAATTCAACCCTTGCATGATGAGTTAGTGAAGCATAACGTCAAGGATACCATTCAATTTATTGACAAGATTAAAAACTTGAACGCAACTGGCAAATACATGGTATCACTTGATGTTTCATCTCTATTTACTAATGTGCCTCTAGTGGGAACCATCGATTATATCTGCGAACAGATTTTAGAAAGGAAATTGTGCACTGATATTGCTATTAGTAATCTGAAACAACTACTTGTTAAATGTACAACAAATATTCACTTCTTCTTTAATAGTGAAATGTACAGACAGACTGATGGAGTAGCCATGGGATCCCCACTTGTATCTATTTTCGCGAGCGTATTTCTAGCAAAATTAGAAAATAGTCTGCTGAAAGATGAAATA